CAGTGTCTTCAGGATGTGTTTCTCCAGATTTGATCTGTTTCCATTATGTGATTCACAGTTTGATCTCATTTCATCTGCTATATCTCTGGCAGTCCTCTTGTAGACGCTCTGCTCAATGGACTCTTTCAGTTTCTGACAGATGATTTCTCCAAAAATAGCAGCTGATGCAGATCCATGACAGTATTTCTGGAAAACACTGTAATACTCTTCTCTCTTCTTCTCCAAATAGAGGACAGGATCATTGGCTTCTCTGAACAGTCTGTGTTGGTCAGTGATCTTCTTGTTTGATCTCTTACAGATGGACAGAACCAAATGCATGAAGAATTCATTCTTGAACACATAATTCACTGGTCCTTCCTGATGTTCTGTTACTCTTGCTCTGATGTAATCTGTGAGTTGTTGAATGCAGATAATGTTGTAGCCCATCTCTGAAATGTTAAATGACTGAATCATTCTGTCTGTCTGCTGAGCAACATCTGTGACGAATGATCTTATTTGTGCTTCATCCTCTGGTGGTGGACTTTGAGCCCTTCCAGTCCCACTTTTTGTAACATTTTTGAAATCAACATAATCTGAAAAACTCGGCACAGTGAATATATCCCTGCTCTCCCTCCAGTAACCTACAGGAAGACATTCAAAGATGAGTATCTCTCTCACATCTCTTATTATGTCAATGTCTCTGATTGCAGTAATGTTTCTGATAATCATATTCCCATTTTGTTCCCAGAACAAATCAAACTCTTTCTTCAGTGTTCCTTCATCAATTGTTTTGTATCTGAATCTTAAGGCGAGTTCTTTGCTCTTTTCATAGAGAGTGTTTTCATGACGTGTCCTCGGAGCATCAATCATCTCATCTTTCTTCTTCATTTCTCTAACAGTGCTTTTATGAAACTCTTTTTTGAAATCAAGTGTTTTAGAGTTTTCATTGCTCCAGTCCTTCACTGAAACACATAACATGTTATACGTAACGTTATGATGTACATCTAGAAAGTTTTAATGCAACATCACATAAATAAAGATAAAATGTAAAAAAAGAAACAAAAAAACAAAAAAACACCAATAGGAGGTATATTTGAGATTTAATTAATCACTTGTGTTTTGAAGGGAATAAACTGCCCTTAATTACCATATTCTCACTCTCATTTAATGTATTTACTCATTTTTATAAAGACTTACTCTCAGGAGGTATGCCTATGCTCCCTGATCTCCTGCGAGGAAGACTGGAGTCACCAAACACTGTATGAAACAAAAGTCTTACGTTATATTTAGCCTTTTCACCATCATAGAGACAAGCAATTGAGTGAGGGGGTTATGAGATAGCCACAACTTTAGTTTAGTTATTGGTTATACATTTTTGAAAAAAAGTGCAAAGACTAAAATGAACCTTATAGAGCGCATGTGTTGACTGCCTGTGTTTGCACACGCTATCAAATAGAGAGAATGGAAATTTACTTGACAAACAGTCGCCACATTTTAGGACACACTCAGGAGCACACAATAGCCGCTTTTCCACTGTGGGGCCAGTGCGAGCCAGTGCTTTCAGCGGTAATAGCCTCGGACCAGTAGCACCGAGCCCAACATCATGCTGTGTTTCCACAACATCACGCAACCCCATCATTTCACCAACAATGACAAGTTCATTAATCACTGTAACTAGCACGCTCACAAAACGAACATGATAAAAGCGGCCGTTTGTTTGCATGTTTTGTTAAAGATTTAAATCCAAAAGCATCAATTCTGATTTTTTTTCCCATCAAAAATACAACCTGAGTAGCAGAGGGAGCTCCCGAACAAAACAAAACAAAAACGTTACGTTACGTCAGAATACGTTGTAATCTGGATTATGTAATCAGATTCCAAATATTAAGTACTTATATTACTACATTCAATTACATTTTGTAAATACCCGTAATCAGACTACAGTTACTTTTTATTGATTACATAATTACATAGCATTCACATAATAGCAGTGATTTATTCATAATTTACTGATTCTCCCTAATTACTCATTTTCATCTTTTAAATGTTCCTTTCTAAAATAGCCTAGCTATATTTACAGTAAGTCAGAAAGTCTTCTAGTTTTGTGGACATTCACACAGAGATCATTTATTAGTCAGGTGGCTACACAGCATTTGACCACTGGATTTACAAAAATAATTTCAGGTTTATAATCTGAGCAATTTTTACTCTATATATACACATGAAGTGCCCCTAAGATTTTTAAATAAATATTTTAATAATTAAGTAGCCTATTACATTTGCATGTTCACGGTTCTCTGGTCACATGACATGCAGGTGAACAAATAAAATATTAGTTTTTTTGGGGGGGATTTATATCTAAATATTTTTACATAAAACATACATAAAACATACTTCCTCAATATAAGTTTCCAAAACGATCTTTAAATCTTTCTAAGACCTGCTTGACACAGGGTTCGTACACACCAGCTGTGTAATTGGGGAAGAGAGAAAGAGAAAAAAGACACAGGCTCCAGTCGACTCGGCCAGTAATTCTGATAATCTGTCGGATAAGGGCCGGACTAGGGCATATGTTTGAGGCCCGTGCAGGGTTCTGCTGAGCTTATTTGGTAGCAAACTCAATACTCATATACGCACGAGCGCACTTTGGTGGCATACACCGATCGTGTATGCCATCAAAATACCATACAGACGCTTCCTTATGCTTTCAAAATGCTCTTGAGGTATTTTGATGTCATACACCGATCGGTCTGCACACGCAAACAAAGCCAAAACCTAGATATTTTAGGCAATATAGAAATCCTGGCCAGGACGCGTCCTGGGAAAATGGCACGTATGGTCACCCTACTATAGGCTATTGAATAAATGTGTGAATATGCATCATTTTAAAGTCAAAAGCTGCGGGAATGAGTAAAACTATGTGATGTAGCCTACGCGCAATCCCGCACCGAAATTCAGGACCTGATTAAACACAATTCTATTATACAGAGTTTTGGGAAATAGATTTCAATGACTTTTCCAAAACTTTCTGGGTTTATTTATTTATCCAAAACTTTTCCAGGCCTGGAAATTGGTGTTTTAAAATGTCATGACTTTTCCAGGTTTTTCATGACCGTACGAACCCTGTTGACATCAAATCAAAACACTAGACTGAAACTTGATAATGTGTGACGTTGTTATATAAACAAGGCCCAAGCTACAGCCCGACTATACAACACCGACTATTCTCCAACATCTCGTGGTGCAGTTGTACACGCTACATGTACTGATAGAGAACTGAACACTTCATGGCATCAGATATTTCTGCTTCTCAACACTGAACACAAATTTCAAAAATGAAAGTGAAACTAACTAGTGCAGCTCATGCCATCAATAGTTTCATTCAGAATAAATATAAACCCATGTTTTAGCGCTGAATCTCACATTTACATTGTATATGTATTATATGTCAAATGTTTAGCCTACCTTCAAGTATAGCATTCAAAAACGACATGTTGCTTCAGGAGACCAGGACGTCTTTTGTGGGCGGGCGGAGTCACACTGGGTTTGAACAGGAAGGTTTGGGTTAGAAGTTAAAGCTACAGTTCCAGTGCAAAAAGGCATAAGGTGAATGACAGCAGCTCAACGCTAATACGTTTAGAGAACTTTCAGCGACATTATGTTACCTGATGATTATTTTATAATATGGCACCAGTTGCATCACACTTTTTCATTTATTAGACCTGTCATAAGAGAAAACACAAATATTTTAGAAATCTGTAAAAAACTTGTTTAAAAGTAAAAATTGTACCGTCATTTATTAGACAAATAACAAACTGAAATAACAATAGTCTTTATGAATTTGCACTTTTATACTCAAATGTGAGCTGGCACGTTCAGCTTCTCTCAGAAGTCAGAAATGAATCAAGAGTAACATTCACAACCATTAAAACTTATTTTTCAAGGACAGCAAGTGAATAACTGTAATTGGACAATGAATAATAATAATAATAATAATAATAATAATAATAATAATAGGTCTAATAATTGTTACATCCTGCTCGAAGACTTGAAAGTTTGGAAATCCAAATGCAGCTTAATTTGGGACAAACCCGAGACGTGATCCAAAATACAAGCAACAGGTCAAAACACAGGCAGGTAATCCAAACAATCGACAAGGCAGGAAACTCAGGGTAAATCCAAGAAACAGGCAGAGGTCACAAAACCAAGAGACATAAATCCAGGGAGAATGCTCAGATATGTCCATGGATTATAGAGATTACTTTACAGAGACGGTATACGGCATACGTGATAAGCACGTGTTAAGACAGTGTAAATACTCAGCATAATGAAAGAAATTAACATGCTCTTTGATGCAGGCACACATGCAAACTGGGGCGGACTGGGGTCGAAAAGTGGCCCTGGACTTTTTGGCACAGAGCGGCCTACCAAACCCGGTCCGCACACACCCCACCAAAAATGACTGGCATTATCCTTTACATTATAATGTCTTTCTGTCTGACATTTCATGGAAATTCGGTGCGTACCATGGGGGTAGCTAAGATACTGGGTGAGACGATATCGTTTCTACAGTTATGGAGTAGTTAGAAGTTATGCTAGATGAAATAATTAACTTTGACACAACAATTGTAAGAGCATTTTGAGACCAATAAGCAGAAGCAGTGACACATGATAAACATACGATCACAGTGCAGAAACCTAACGACAACAGAAAACCTGTCAAAGAAGGGGTTTTTAAAATGTTTACAAGATATATCAGATTAAACAGAAGGCCAAAGTAATTGCTGTGAATGTAAAGGGAATGTGGGCAAAGAAGGACAAAGCTTGTTGGTTAATCAGTTGAAGGCACACTCTAAAAAATGCTGGGTTAAATACAACCCAGTGCTGGGTAAAATAGGGACAAACCCAGCAATTGGGTTGTTTTGACCCAGCGTTTGGGTTACTACCCAGAAGGTTGGGTTAAACATTTAACACAACTGCTGAGTCAAAGTGCAGGACCTCTAAGTTCTAAATGTTTTGTTCATGATGGTTGAAGTAAGCAGCTGTTGAAGTAGTCGAATAGTTGGATATTTTTGAAGGATTTTTCACTTTGGGGAACAAGTTTGAGGATGTTTTTGTGTGTGAAAAGCACATCACTATAGTAGGGTAAAGAAAGGTTTTAGATGCAATGCCAACACTAATCTCACAATGTAAACCACAATCAGTTAAAAATCATGTGTTTTCAGAAGTTAAATATTCCGATTGCGTGTTACATTTACTTTTTGATTAGATTGTAAATTAAGTTGACATGAAATATGTTTGAAATTTCAATCTGCATCTTCTGAGAAACTGAGATTTCATTGAAATCCTTCTCATGAAGTCACTGAATACACCATTAACTGTTCAGCCGATAGCGTTGCCGTCTGCGCTTGATGTTAGAACAAGAATACAACTGCACCACCAACCTGAGTCTGTCTGAGAGATAAGAGATAAAATACATTTACCTGAGATGAGTTTTTATATATATCTCTGAAATATATGATTGTATTCTTGACAACAATCTTTATTGTATTATTGAATAAAATATTAGCGAATTAGCAAAGAAAGATACAAATAATAGCCATAATATGTAGATACTGTGATACTCAGATACTTTGATTTCCTTCTAACATTGCTGATTTCACCATTAACTGTACAGTTTATGTTGTTGCATTCTCTCTGTTATCATGTTTCGTTCAGCAGATATGACACAAAATACATAATGGTAATGGCGGAAAGTAAAATGGTTTCCATTGAACCATATATATATAAAAAAAACTTTTGGTGGCCATTTCTGAAAATGTTCAGGGCCACAAACTATACAAGTGTACCAAGTTTCATGTTTCAAGTTTTTCATTGGCTGTAGGTCATCGCCGATGTATTTTTCAGTCAGGTCCAGATATATAGCACGCCAAATATTTCACAGGCATCAGCAATTCTCTCAGGTCGCGTCTTTGATAATTCACACTGTGTGATTGTCACTCGTGTGAATGAGCACCGATTTACCTCCGCATATGTCGGCGATTTCGTAAAACCTGTCAGCGAGTGAAAATCAGGGCTAAAATTGTGCAGTGTGAGCTCGGCGTGAATTACTTCACACAAAAACAAATATATACACAAATATACTAAATCACATTTGCCATAAGCAATAGTGACACATAAACTATAAATTCAACAACCCACACATATTTCCCATAATTCCCAACAAAGATATAAAGCACATCAGAAAATGCCGTGCTCTTTTAATACAGGCCTCAAATCCACGCTGCAGTCATGGATCCCAGCAGAACAACTGTTAAGAAGGATAATTCCAACTGTAAAATAAAGATCATTTTAAACCCATATCTGTCTAGTTGTTCTTTTAGTGTGCACTCTAGTAACAGATTATACATGCGTGCTATCCCTCTTCATCTTTAATGCACATAAAGAGACAACGTAGCCTCTTAAACAAATATTTGGGTAAATAACCTTGAAGAAACCAAAATAAATATAAACATGTTATTACTTTCCAAATCCTATATCAACCTTGACAAATTAATGATACAAGGATATACATGAAACAGTTATTTTAATTCTTTCAAATAAATAACAGATAACTACTTAAATTATTCTGGTCACACTTTAGATAGAAATTTAAAGTGTCGGTTGGCTGTATTAACTATCATGAAAACATTTGAGAGTTTTGTGCACAATGTTTTGAGAAAATTATGTGCATGGTTTGTAATTTGTATGAAATGAATGAAAACGTACAATCTGTTTAGGACAAATACAAAGTGTTCAGATCACCGTGTTAATGGTTTTGAGAACAGCGACCTGAATTTGGAGAAATGTGTCAAATCGATTGAGAAAACTGTAATAATGAACAACACAGGAAATGCTTTTTTTCTAATTGATTACACATTTATCACAATTGCTTCATCTATAAAGGTGAAAAGAATATACAAAAAATTAATAAATAAAAATGCATAAATAAATAAACAATTGGGGGAGGGGTAAAGAAAGAGGTGTAAGTGCAAAAGTTTGTGGAGTGGGTAGAGACGGGTGTAATGAGAGAGAAGAGCAAGAGAGGAACCGACAGAAAGAGAAAAAGAAGAGAGGAGAGGGACAGGGAGAAGAGATGAGTAGAGAGGAAGGATCTGGTGTAGAAACTAAGAAGAAAGATAGGTAGAAGGTACAGATAAAAATTCAAAGGAAATCAGAGTTACCTAAACTGACCATGTGTAACAGAGTTAGGATTTTATTTAGTTTTATTGTGAATTCAGCAGGGTTAATTTCATGTTGTATTGGTGCCCTCGTGTGGTTTGTGTGAGAACTGCAGGCACATAAAACGTTTGGTAAGACACGCTGTGGGTGGGTATGCTTATGTGGTGATGCACAATACAAATGTTAATGCACAAAAAAATACTTATTTACAAACATTAAAATAAAAAATAAAGTCATGTTAAAAAAAAAAAATCATGAAATTGTATTATTTGTGTCCTGATGGAAAATAGCAATACATTTATTTCCTGATGTCCTGTTTTTATTATCTGTGTTTTTTGTTCTGTCACTGTCATTCTGTTACACTGTGGAGCTTCTGTCATGAAAACAAATTCCTCGTATGTGTAAACATACCTGGCAATAAAAACTCATTCTGATTCTGATTCTGATTCTGATGTCTCTTTATGGGTAAAATGACATTTTATGCAGTAATATTTGTGTCAATGTGGTCATTTTTGACCATGAAGAGTGAAAGTGTGACTATTCTGGATCATTTAAACTGTTTGAACCATGTCCATGATTTTCAAAGCAAGTGCCAAAACCAAACAGTTTCATACATTTCAGATGAGGTAAAAAGTAAAAAAAAACAAACAAAAAAACCCTTAAATTCTGGTGTCAGTTAATGCATTGCACAACACTTGACAAATACAGTGATCTTTCTTTTGTTTTTGTTGTGTGGCATCACAGTTATTATGGGCTGGGAGAACTGTAGTAAGTACAAAGTGAAGAACAGGATGGGACAGCAGGTGCTCTTGGTGGCTGAGGAAAACGACTTCTGTTGCCTGCAAGAGTTAATACATATTCAGTGTCATAACTCGCACTTTTGATTTGAATCTCAGGCTTCATTTTTAAAAATATAAGCTGGTCGATGAAAGATTGTAGGTGCAAACTAGATTCATGTACCGTCATCACTGTGCTGTTTCCGTAGAAAAAAATAAATAATTTTACATCCATACGTACACTACTGTACAAAGAGTAATTAATTAATTTTATGTGAGTAAAAATTTTCTTTATGTTTTTGAAGAAATTCTCCTAATGGATCTTACATTTACATTAAACGCTTTAAATTAGTAATTATTTTTTAAACAAAATCCAGACTTTTGAACAGTAGCATACATTGACTTGAATACATAAATCCTATAATGAACATGTTTTTAATTTCTGAAAGTTACTATAGTTACTGTAGTTAAAGTTACTGAAAATAAAACTTTATTAAATAATTTGGTATTTAAAAATGGCTTCACTGCTTTATAATATTAAACGTTGTCCACAGAATTCAAATGCCACTAACATGCAGGAAACTAAATAAACTGTACATACCATATCATAGAGAAGACCCCTGCAGATTTTAATGACGGTGTGTCAATAAGTCTCTTAAAATATCAGATAATTTGACCTTTTAATGAAAATGCAAGGTTAGATGAGGTTGTGAAATGCCATGTGGTGCGTCTTACCAAAAATGCAATATCTTGATTTTATGATATTATGAATAACTCATGATTCAACATACTTCTCATTTAAGATTTGTGGGCACTCATGAACACTCTTAGATGTCTTTGACCCTGTTAATATTTTAGATATCCAGCCGATGCATGTCATGTTTTCAGATCAAGTTCACAAAAGTACTGTTACCAATGCTGTGTTGCATGATGGGAAGTCAGCAAATCCACCATCACCATCACAGCTTAAATGCAGTGTATAAGTTGTGAATAATTATACAGAGCTACTTTATTTCAAGAATAATTATGCCTAAAATCAAATCACTGTCTTCCTCGTAGCTTTAAATCCAATCTCCACCAGGCAGCCCAGTTGGATACGTGGTCCAGAACTGGCATCCTTTCCTTCCTCAGTTTACAGTACAGAATGAGAATCAAGAAGCAGTTCTGAAGATCGTGGGGCCGTTCTGTTCATGCAGATGTTGCGCGGATGTCTTTGATGCATGAAACATACACTGTAAAAAATGACCGTGAATTTAACGGTAAAAGACTGTAAAAATGCTACAGTAAAAGCCTGTTAAATGGTTAACGGTAAATTCCCCTACTATATACAGTGAAAAACTGTATTGGACATTACATGTATTGGACATCAATTTTACGGTAGTATACCGTTTTTGGAAGTGAAAAATACTGTATAATTTACAGTGAATAACCGTAAATTGACATTCCCATCCCCTGCGTAACATTTAAAATTTGATGGTTTTTTGTTGAAATAACTATGTTTCTTCTTAGTTTTTTCTTATCAGTTTTGTATATTAGGGTTGTGTGTTACACCTAATGTTGTTAAATGAATGTTTATTGCATTATTTCAGTTTCATGTGTGTTACCGTGATGGTGTTTAGTGTTTGTGTGAATGACACACTGTGCAGCTTCTATATATGTTATTATTTAAAAGCTGCTTGTGATGGGCTTTGGTTCATCGTGTGACTTTCTCATCACCTCCTGCATTTGGTGGTTATCAGTGTATTACAAAGATACAAAACAGATTTCAGTACTTCAATAGGTTGGTATATTAACATTATTTCAAATTAAATTACGGTATTTAACTGTAAATTTAAGTTAAAACTGTAAAACCTAAAACGTTGCTACCGTAGTTTTAACGGTAAAATTCCGGTAACCACAGCTGCCGGGTTTTTACAGTAAATTTTACGGATTTTTTTTTACAGTGTACATTGATTATATAGCTTGATCATTTGACTTGGTCTTTAATCTCAGTCATGAAACTATAAGACCATGTGATCCTTTTTTTGTCTGTGGATGAATCATCAAAGGTGGGCAGAATCAGTAAAGAGTGGCCAGGTCTGCTGAGAGAAGCTTTCACTGATGCAGACCATTTAGAAATCTCCTTTCCTTTGGATCTGGACGTGAAGATCAAAGCTGCTCTTTTTGGAGCCTGCTTTCTCATAGTAAGCAGAAATAAGGCATTATCATACATCAACATATTTCTGCTTAGACCAGTTTGCATCTGTCTAATTTTGCTCTATAAGATCTGCGTTTTTCAGCACAGTGAATAATCTGATATTATTCTTCTCTTGTAAGACTTCATGTTCTTTGAGCAAAATTAGCTGGATGTCCTGTAAATACACTGATATTGCTTATGGATATTTTTAAATGATTTGTCAACACACAGTTCTAATCATTGTCTCTCAATTAATCTTTCAGGTTGAATTTTGAACCCTGAACATGTTAACCATGAATTCAAATGTGTACCACTCAGCTAAAAAATATAATATTCATATTACTATGTACATTGCATTGTACAGTATATTCCTACACCACTAGGTGACAGCTTTACAATAATTAGATAAAGATGTTCTCAGTATCAACAAAGAACCTGCTCTAAATGTTTTGCCCAAAAAAATATCTGAACTATTAAAGAGAACTGTAAAGTCGGCATGAAACAGAAGTTGTGACAGTCCTTTCTAACCCTATTGTGACGTATATCTGAGTGAAACGACGGTTACACTTTATTTTAAGGTGTCCTTGTTACAGTGTAATTATACACTTAAGTACTGAGTAATATTAGTTAACTACATGTACTTACTGTATGGTTAGGGTTTGGCTTAGGGTTACTTGCATGTAATTTTGCATAATTTATTGTTATTTTAATTGTAAATGAGAAAAAACTTGATTTCACCCTTCTCTAATTGATTGGATCGTTGGAAGTTGGGCGTTGCTTGACACAACGGAGGCAGATTTGAATGTCAGTTTTTAGTCTGTTGTGGAGGATTACTCTCCATGATACACCACCGGTTCCCTCCATGAAGAACTTTTATTGAGGCGATGAGAACGAGGACGACCAACATTATTGACCATAACTGTTGTAACTAAAGAATATATTATTTCACTGTATTATGCTACTGTCTTCACAAAGAAGTGTCTAGAGTCATGAAATGATTATGTCTAGTCATCAACTATATTTTTATAGTCCTGTTGTTTTATGTTCAAGGCTTTTTTATGCAGGCTACACTAGTCACTTTACATAACGGTCAATATTAAGCTAAACAAGCCTGCACTGACAACCAGAATTAGAAGGAAGTAAATATTTATTTGGGTGGTGTAATAGGCTATTATAATACAATGTCATTAATCAATATATTAAGATAACCTATGTTATTTAGGATGATGCGATGACAAATTCAAGCGCACAGTTTTACCTAATTAATTACGAATTTGTTTAGTTATATCATTTATAATTTGAATTATACAAGAAGAACACCAAGTCGGGTAATTAAAAAAGAAGGTTTTGTTCATTAGCCTTCATCAGATCAGATTTGTTTTCTTCAGGAAACAGGCAGACTAGAATAAATAGCAACACAGAAGTGAACAATAAACGATAGAAATGGCAAAACAAAAATTAAATAATTAATCCAAATTTTGAACAATTATGAGTAACATTAGGATAAAACGTCTAAATATGATATATTGATCGCCGTCAGATGCTGAGTCGACAGGACGCTTTACATATCTCCCCACCATCAGACTTTCCATCGCTCATGGAATTTAGTGCTGCTTATACCTCTTCAGCATTCATAAATCACCTTCTTTTTCTCATTTTGTCTTTATTTATGAAACTGATAACCGCTAATTCAGTGAGTGAAAGGTGTTGCCTAGCAATGTACTATGTTAAAACATAAGCAGTGCGAACATACAGGCATTATATAGTGGGTAAAGTTGACCCGCGCTGGCACTTATAGGTATAACTACTGTCTGTACATCCAGAATACTGAATGATCCATTTGCACACTGGAATATTTTCTATGCACTTTTTTAAATGTCCATTGCACTTGTGTTTTTGTACAGCTTAATGTATCGCTTACATATTCATTTGTAAATTATGTTCATATGTTCATACTTTTCTGCTTATAGTGTACATAAACTTATTACATAATCCATCTGTATAGTATGTTCATAGTACACCTATCTGTATATCATGCTGATAGTATTTAAAAATCTGTAAATTATGTCCATAGTACTGCCTTATCTGTATATTTATTGTACATTTGTAACATATTGTAACACCCCTGTGGACTGTTTGTTGTGGTTTCTTCCCCTGTTGTTGGTTTAGCCCGTTCAATTATTAGTTAATCACCTCATTGTGCTCACCTGTCGGTCCCTCGTTAACTGCCCTATATCTGTTCCTGTCTCTTGTGTTCTAGTTTGTCAGTTATTGTGACTGTTACCCCGAGTGTGTGTATGTCTCACCTGTCTGGATCTGCCTTGCGTCTACATTAAATATCCTTATTTTGAAGCCTTGTCGTCCTCGTCATCCTGCCTGCCTCCACACACCTGGACCGTGACACATATTGGAGACACTGTTTATCCTGTACTTACTGCTTATTGCACTTCTGGTTAGATGCTAACTGCATTTCATTGCCTTGTACCTTACATGTGCAATGACAATAAAGTTGAATCTAATCTAAAATGCCCCGTTTTTTGATCTGGTTTTGACCAGCAGGTGCGCTCAGCCTATTATGAGTACTTTAACAGTGAATCATCAGTTTTGAAAAGCTTCTTTAATTCTCCCATCAATAAATATCACAGTGAAACATGAAGCACATTTCCCGTTAGTAATAGGGGTGGTTTTATGGTGCTTGATTTCCTACACCTTCTACCTTATTTTATTTATTCTCAGGTAAGTCAAATCTGTCCGATCTCGCAAGCATCTGAGTTTTCATACTTACAAAATAGATCACAGAAGACTTCTGCGCGGTCTGTTCTGCTCTAGTTCAGAAATCTGAGTCGTTTTTGGCAGGAGAGCTTCGTAGTTATAGTTTTATTGTCTACAGGGCAAACACTTTACATACAAAATACTAATATGAAAACAGAAATAAAAGCACAAGCATGTGATTTGCAAGCTTGGCTGCTGAGAAGCATTCCAATGTCTTGTGAAAGGTCTGGAAGTATCTCCCTATCGAAGTTTCTCATAAAAAACCCTCCATTTTATAATTTTCTTCTTCTTTGACGCCTTCAGAAGTCAATGGTAACATCCCTTTTCTTCAAAGCTCTTGCTAATACATGTTTCATCTCTAGCTGTACTCTTGCTAATATATGTTACAAACATTTGATCAATAAAGGCTTAGAACAATAACATGTGTGGTGTGTCTTAATAAACCACTTTCTTAACAAAACAAATACAATAACGTGTTCGGTTATAATACAAAAGTATTGCATTAAAGGAAAAGGCATACTTGCGACAGGACAATTGCAAATTTTCTTCAACAGTGCACACAAAACATAGCAAATATCATTTCTAATGCCATCAGATACATGCAGATGTCCAGAAACCTAGTTCTTGCAAACATGATTGTTGCCACAAAGTTATGCAATACGTTTCTGTGAAACTGTTACAATGTAATGAAAAATACATCTACTGTATATTGTCAGACAATAGACATTTTGTTCATACATATATTGTCATAAAGTTACAGATACTGGTATGAAGGACATTTAAAACAAACACTTCAACAGAACCTCTCTCTGATATATTATGTGGATTTGAGAGGATTTCAAACTGAAGTGAGGAACAGAACAATAATTTTAACTGTGAATCAAGCTTATTTCATTTCTTCAATTAAATGTATTTATCCAAACTCTCAATAGCATCCTGTTTTGAGTATCTTCTCCATGCATGTGGTATTTCACCACTCCCCTGAAATGTGTTCTTAAGGTGTTGGTGCAGATGGCCCCACAGAACATACACTGAACCCAACAGCACTGACAGAAGAGATCAATCAGAAGCTCATCTGGTCTGAACTTGAGGTCCAGCTTTAATGGAAATGTCTTTGTGTTGAATCTACAGCTGATCTCAGACATTATAGCAGGAAGTTCTTGTCTCATCACATCTTCAAGCAGTTTGAAATCCTCAACATCATCATGATTGACCTCCTGCTCTTCTGTACTCTCTATAGAGGACTGACTTATCTGATCCTTCGGGATAAAAACATTGATCACTTGCTACTGCTGTTGTACAGATGCTAATACACAAGTTTGTTGTTCCTCTGTACAAATATCCTTTAATGCCACTCACTCTGTGGAAAGCAACACTGTGATCTCCATGATGGTTTTCTGTGGTGTTGGTGCAGACGGCTTTACAGAACGGACACTGAACCCAACAGCACTGACAGAAGAGATCAATCAGAAGCTCATCTGGTCTGAACTTGAGGTCCAGCTTTAATGGAAATGTCTTTGTGTTGAATCTACAGCTGATCTCAGACATTATAGCAGGAAGTTCTTGTCTCATCACATCTTCAAGCAGTTTGAAATCCTCAACATCATCATGATTGACTCCACTGAGGTGTTTTTCAGAGAAGATCAGCTCATCTGAGAGCTGCTGTGAGAATCTCTTCAACCACAAACCAGCATCTCCTCTGTTCACTTGAACATGTTCAGTAGATTCACGAGCTGCTCTCGTGATCTTCTGCTGCAGGAGTTCAATGCTCATCTTCATCTTGTGTAAAACACGGACATTGAACTTATCAGTGATGTACCGACTGACTTCATCTCTGATGAAACTCTTGAAGTGATCTCTGGGAGTGTTAATGTAGTTCATGTATTTGTTGAAATCCTCCTCTTCTGCCAGTGTCTTCAGGATGTGTTTCTCCAGATTTGATCTGTTTCCATTCAGTGATGGACAGTTTGATCTCATTTCATCTGCTATATCTCTGGCAGTCCTCTTGTAGACACTCTGCTCAATGAGCTCTTTCAGTTTCTGACAGATGATCTTACCAAAAATAGCAGCTGATGCAGATCCATGACAGTATTTCTGGAAAATACTATAATACTCTTCTCTTGTCTTCTCAACATATATTACAGGATCATTGGCTTCTCTGAACAGTCTGTGTTGGTCAGTGATCTTCTTGTTAGATCTCTTACAGATGGACAGAACCAAATCCATGAAGAATTCATTCTTGAACACATAATTCACTTGTCCTTCCTGATGTTCTGTTACTCTTGCTCTGATGTAATCTGTGAGTTGTTGAATGCAGCTGATGTTGTAGCCCATCTCTGAAATGTTAAATGACTGAATCATTCTGTCTGTCTGCTGAGCAACATCTGTGACGAATGATCTTATTTGAGATTCATCCTCTTTAGAGAGAATGTCACGAAACACCTCTTTATCTGATCTGTAGACCTTTGTAAAAGCTCCTGCAATTCCTCTGTGTTTCTTTAGTTTTACATAATCTGAATAACTCTGCACAGTGAAAATATCCCTGCTCTCCCTCCAGTGATCTACAGGAAGACTTTCATAGACGTCACTGAGGATCAATTTCACATCTCTTATTACGTCAATGTCTCTGATTGGAGGAGTGTCTCTAATAATCATATTCACATTTTGTTCCCAAAACAAATCAAACTCTTTCTTCAGTGTTCCTTCATCATTTGCTCTGTCTCTAAGTTTTAAGGCGAGATGTTTGCTCTTTTCACAGAGAGTGTTTTCATGATGTGTCCTCTGAGCATCAATCCTTTTCTTCATGTCTCGCTGCTGAAGAACCTCATTTAATTTCCTCTTTGTTTCTCTCACAATGTTTCCCTGAAGCTCTTTGATTTTGATTTCAAATGATGTTTTCCATTGAATCAGTATATCTTTATCTCTGTCTTTCTCAAAGAATTCAGACACTGATTTTTCCACTTCTTCACTTGTCTTCTTCAGTTCTCTGTGAAGATCAGTTTCATCAACCTCATGAATTGCTTCATTTTCTATTTTGTTGTATAGTTTGTTCTCAGTTTCCATCATGGCACTGCGAAGACTCCAGGACCACTTGCTGTATTCAGTCTCTAGTTTCCTGTAAGCTGAGATCTCCAGAGCATTTCTGAAGCTGAAGACGAATCGTTCATTTAGTAAAGCCTCCCAGAGATCTATAATATGATCTTTGAAGTCATTCAGCACCATTCCATGTGATTTTGAGGCATGAAACATAATAGTTTCCTTCAGTTCTTGAATGTTCTCACAATAGTTTGGGTTTGGTGGAGCCATCGGTGGGCTGCCCTCCCAGAGCTGAGGAATATACTTCACATCTTTCTTAACATCAAATCTAATGACATCACTGAAACATTCAGCATCACAGACTTCATCTTTAGCAGCGAGTTTAGTCATCTCATCCAGTGTCTCCTGCAGTCGTCTCCTTCCCTCCATGTTTCTCTCTCCAGCTGTGACGTCTGAGATGTTCTGATGCACAAACACACAGCTGGGATTCAGTCTGACCTTCTTCATCCTCATGAAGTCCTGAACAACGATCTGAAGAATGTCCTGCATCTCAGCTGGGTTTTCTCCAAAGGTTCTGATGCACAAACACACAGCTGGGATTCAGTCTGACCTTCTTCATCCTCATGAAGGCCTGAACAACAATCTGAAGAATGTCCTGCATCTCAGACGGGTTTTCTCCAAAGATGTTGATCAGTGTCAGATTTCCCAGACCTACAACAAATGTGGCCAGTTCATTGTCATGATGTCTTGTTGATCTTCCAGTCAATTCTAGAGCACGAAGACCTCCAGTATCAACAACCAGAATATAGTCAAACCTCAGATGTGTTCTCATCTCGTCTGAGACTCTGAGCAGCTGCATGAAAGCTCCTCTGGTTGTTCTGCCAGCACTGACAGCAAACTGGAGTCCAAACATGGTGTTCAGCATGGTGGATTTCCCAGAGCTCTGGATCCCTAAAACTGA